CTTAGTCACACACCATATATGGCCTTAATCGCTCTCCACTGCTCCCATTGGTCCGTTCTCCCTACCCACCCCCCCTGCCTACTTCGTATATAAGCAGCACCTTCCACATCCTATCACCACAGCTACTGCTCTCCGCAGCTATTCAACTGCTCTGAAGATGGAGGCGCTACGTTCCTCCGAAACGTCGGCCAAAACGAAGAATACACGGTGCCTAAACCCAGAAGACAACTTTCTTCATCGAAAATTAACTGTGATTATATTGTCATGAATTGCAAAATATAATCTTTATTATATATGTTATGAAATTCCAAAGGACTTACCTGTTGTTTTTTCTTCAGCCTTGAATCATGGTGATAATGTAAATATAATCACACTATATACAATAATATTTTGCTCAGACTGTACATGAGTTTGAACTGCGTCACTTTACAGTTTACCATAACTCACACCCTGATGCGCGTGTGCCATGTCTCAAAGTAGCCAGAACATGCACAGCGCAATCCACGTCACGAAGCAGCCAACAGTAGTAGAGTGTGCATCTGCGCCTCTTATTCTGAGAACAAATACGTCTTTGTTTCCTGTTGGTTGACCAGTGTTGTGAATTTTTCACCTCCAGTTGACCCAGTTGGGCCCCAGGTAACCTTGGCCTCCCCCGAGAAACGCCACTGACCATGATATTCGGCTTGTGCAACTGAAGAATCATCTTGGGGCAGGGGGGTTTCTAGCAAGATTGAATAAATTATTTTGATTGACAAAGAGACACTCTCACCCGTTGGTAATATTCGAAAAATAGTGATGCAAAGTAATTATAATACCAGTCGAAAAGAGTGCCAGTCTGACACATACTGAAAGTTGCAGTGGCGAAGATGACTTTTACTCACAAAGTAATACTGGCTCAGCGGATTTATACCTCTTCCAAGACGCAAAATAAAAATGATATATAACGAAATATATGACAGTCTGACACTGACTTCCTGACTGATAATTCGCCTCTGAAAACCAATCCTTGAATGCGTTACACTTCCTTGAAGGCTCTGGAAGTACTCATTTGCAAGCATCGATAAATATTTCCTCATCAGTTCTCGAAAGAAAGCTGGGCTCTATCTGACTGACGAGGTCATAAACAGTCATATCTAAACGTAAATAGTATCGAAACCAGGACCGAGACAAACAATTTCTTTGTTCAGAACTAAGGAATGAACCACTGACATGACCTCACGTAGGTTTGATTAGGTTTCCAACCCAAAGACAAACTGCCAGCACTCCCAAAGAAAGCATGTGTCCTGTGGCATGTACACACGTCATTCGGCCAACTCCGCTTACTGCTTGCGACATGTATACGTGACATTCGGCCGTTAAAGGTTAAATTTGAGGAAGAAACTAGTGAAATGCTACATTTGGAGCATAGCTCTGTATGGGGCTGAAACATGGACACTTAGGGCAGTAGATGAGAAACATCTGGAAAGTTCCGAAATGTGGTGTTGGAGAAGGATGGAGATCAGTTGGACCGATTATGTGAGAAATGAAGAAGTGTTAATTAGAGTCAGTGAGCAGAGGAATATCCTACATGAAATAAGAAAACGGAAGGCTAATTGGATTGGTCATGTTTTACGCAGAAACTGCCTTCTAAAAGAAGTTATTGATGGAAAGATAGAGGGGCGGATAGACGTGACAAGAAGACGAAGAGAAGATGTAAGAAGATGCTGGATGACCTTGGGGACAGAAGAGGATACTGTCATTTGAAGGAGAAAGCTCTAGATCGCATTAAGTGGAGGAATTGTTTTGAAACAGACTGTGGACCTGTCGTCTGACAGATTACTGATGATGATGATGATAAATACAAACCAAGGAAAGAATGCTAAATGAAGAATACGGTCTATAAAAGACGCCATTCTGGGAAATATTCATGGAGTTTTTCAAACATCGTATGGATTTTACTAGAACTAATGCGTAATGGTATTTTCTTTTGTATGGTAATATTATTAAGTCAGATAATAATGTTGTTTGTTTCAGAACTGTCATTACTTGCAGTCTGTTTCAATTCCACAGCTGAGACAAAATAACATTACATTCCTCTCCTTTCAGAAGAGAGATGGTTCATGAAACAGAGAGATGTGTCAAATGGGTGTCAGGAAGGTAAGGCAAGGGTAAAGAGAAAATGTTCTATATTCTAATTTTTAGAGGAAAGGGTTTGTAGAATTTTACTGTTTAGAAGCCACAAGTCTAAGTCACATGCACCCTTCATTCCTTCAGGTGTGTCCTGTGTGTGAGCAGCCAGCACATCAGGTAATCCATCACCGTCCACATCCTGTATAAACTGGGCTGAGAAAATGTCAACAAATGGTTCCCCATGAAGCTCTGCCCCTCCAACTTGTTCCACAAACTGCCAAACATTACTCCCATCATGACCGTTCACTAGCTGCAGTACCTGTGGGGCATTTAAAATGCATTAATGAACAAACAAAATGGGAAAGAGAATGTCAATATTAACAACTGGCATTTTCACAGCACAATTTTAAAATCTTTTTAAGAAATTTCACTGCAAAAGCAGACAGAGAAGGTATTTTGTAACCTACAACTAGAAATGATAAGTTTCACAAAATCACAAATGCACAGTACAGATTAAATCAAATTCTTATATGAATTTTGTATTTTGCTGGATACTTCCAAACTTACTCCACCCTTTCCTGAAATCAGACAGTCACTGGTCTTGTCTTCTGTGAGATCTGCACTACAATCCACTGTGAATATAGGATGGGATGTCCAGTGTTGCCAAATGGTATTACCAGTCAAACCATCTAGCGCTATTACACCGCCTAGGCATGGAGTTTTCCGATCGAAGTAAAGAGTACACATAAAATTAGGTACATTATGTCCATCAGCTCCTGAAAATACAAACCAAACCTGGGACTGGTATTTCTTATAAAAATGTAAAAATTAAAACAATGCAAATGGAATATCATCAGCGGAGATACTCAGTATTTGTTCTGTTTGTTTAATAGTTTACTGAAAGATACTTTCTCATTTGCATGGGTAATATATAATTAAATGAGAAGATGCATGTGAATTGTAAGCAACAAGACCATGAATGCGCTTGTGACCTGCTTTTTACCTGGATGTGAGTATGAAAAAAGAAATGTACGTGTTAGATTTGTACATGGGTAGGTCAAGGATTGAGCCTGGTACCTACTGAATATAATGCAAGAGTACTAAACCACTAAATCACAAATTTTGCTTAATGGAAATTTTAGTGAAGCAGGATTTTTTTAATTTGCTTAGTGGGGGGTGGAGTCCAAATGGGTCCACTCGACACGGCAGCCAATGATTGGCCTATTGTAGCCTGCCATGGGGGATTATGATGATGGAGAATTTGGTGGAATGAAGATTGGCAGGGGAAACCAAAGTATTCAGAGAAAACCCGCCCCAGCGCCACTTTGTCCACAACAAATCCCACTTGACCAGACCCGGGATCGAACCCAGGCCACCGCAGTGGGAAGCCAGCGACTAACCGTTTGAGCTATGGCGCAGCCAAAGTGAAGCAGGATGGTCAGAAAGTAAAATGATCGAAGGCAGAGTGGACTCTACTGACTTTATTTACATATAAAGTTTCAAACAATTCTGTCATTTGCTCCAAAAGTTATTCCTTACTTTGGGACAAACACACAGATGCAATACCATAAGCCTGTTTCTGCCATATAAAATAAGGAAAGTTCACTAGAAATGCACAGTTCTGCCTGAAAATTTATGAAACTTCATGATGTTAAGCAAAACACATTTTATTGCATATTTATTCATTACTGAAAGCAATACTTTCATCAAGGCCATATTTTAGTCTAGTATCTCTTTAAGGTCATTTATTTCAATAAATAACAAATCAACTTGAACAATTTAAAAGCTTTTTTTTCCTTTTCTTTCTTTCTCTCTCTCTCTCTCTCTTTTTTTAAATAGTTAACCTCAGTCGTGGACCAGAATATAACACTGAAAATGTCTGAGAGTACTGGAGGTCCTGAAAGGGTTAAATTATGCACAAGAACGGCAAGTTGTCCTTTCAAATGAGTATAGTATACAATGAAATAAATAAATTAGCTTTAGATACATACACACAATCATAAAAGCAAAAAAAGCTGTTCTCAGCATAGAAAAAGAAAAAGAAATACTTACAACATATGCAAATAAATAATAATATATTTATAAGGCCATCAAAAGCTAAAAAAAAAGTTGGCCCAAGTTGTAAACAAGGCCTGAAAACAAAACAAAGCAACATTAAGATGACAGTAACAGACACATAGTAAATTTGAGACATTATAGCTGATCTCTCCACAGTGGCTAATGTCACAAAACATAACTTAATGACCCTGAGGCTGAGTTTTCAATTATCTACAAAGAGTTCATGAAGACTGTGTGAACATCACCAGCAACATACTCAGAATTCTGGGACAGAGATTACTCTTAAGAAAAAAGTAATGTATAGCAATGGTGCAAAAATTGCTGAGTAGACTTACTATGGTAATACTGGGTGTTTATGGCCTTCAGGACCAGCCCCAGTTGTGCTTGTGCATATCTAGTGTATCCACTATGCAAAACCTAAGTTTCCAATTTCCTCTACTTTTTTCTCCTTACCAACACAAACTACATATGCATTGTAAAACATCTGGATATTCACAGTGGTTTGAAGAATATAAGTTGAAGCGTCAGTAAACTCAATTCAGGCAAAATGAAGAGAACAAGAAAAATTTTAAAACCCGAAATATATACGTATAAAAAGAATTGGTCTGGAGGGTATGTCAGTGCTTGAAGAATGCGTGGTTAAAGAGTTAAACTGATGGTACTGAAGAGGCTCCCTGCAATGTACATCTACAACCAGACTTTATTCACATTAAATATCTGTTAATTTGCTACACATAATCTATATGTATAATACAAACTCCGTCACAAATGTAACAGTTTGTTGTAGTTGTTCCCCTCCTTTCACACTACGTTTCGGCCGCAACCGGCCATCATCAGGTGTCACTTCACGTAGCGGTCACAGTGCACTCAATATTAATATTTAAACTCCAGATTGCCAATTGTTCATAGCTCTGTCGTCAATCGGTATCCGATATTTCAGAATGAACATATTAAAGAAAACCAGTGGCACGCACACAGAGAACCTGCACAAAATAACACGCGAGTTGTGCTGAAAGCAAGAGGTAGCCGCTGCAGCACACATAAGCATAGAGCAGGTATCTCTGTGATTGTGATTTTGATTTTAAATCTAAATTTAAATTTTAAATATTAAAGCTAAATTGAGAATTTAAAATTTTAAACCAACTGACGTATGAATATTAATAAAGATTTTAAACATAATTGACAAAAATCGACAAGGGGAATTCTGAAATATCGGATACCAATTGACGACAGAGCTATGAACAATTGGCAATTAGGAGTTTAAATATTAATATTGAGTGCATTGTGACTGCTACATGAAGTGAAATACACCTGATGATGGCCGGTTGCGGCCGAAACATGTAGTGTGAAAGAAGGGGAACAAGAACTACAATAAAGTGTTACATTTGTGACGGAGTTTGTATTATACATATAGAAGTGTGGAATGTAAGAGGATACTTAAATATAATATGCTACACATAAGCCAACCTAGGGGGGGGGGGACACATGGAACTGCCATATCATATTATTATTGCTAAGGACAAAATATAGTTAAGAGACTGGCTAAGATAATACGATCTCCACTTGTAATCATTTATAAAGTTCAAGCTTCTTACATAAAAAAGAAGAAAAAATATGGGCTTTCCTCCTTATAGGTGTGTTATAAATGTAATGTACTGCTGGCATTTTGCCATCAACACAACAATAAAAATAAACCAACTGAACTGTTCACATTGGTTTTGATAGTTGCTACATGTGGGGCCATCTTCAGGCAGTTTCATCAAATACATCTTTTGTTATTTAATTCTGCTAATACAGATACATATTACTGCCAGTCATTACAATCATATACTACAAGCAACCATCATGAAGTTGCAAGAATTTTTCTAATTTTAAAATTTTCAAAATTTAAAATTATATAAAATTCTCTTGTTTTATTGCTGTGATGATGGCCAAATACCACCAATCGTGATACACAACAAGATACAAACAGCGAAGAAAATGTACTGTAGCATAAAACTGTTTACATAACACCTCATTTGTACTACCTAGCAGGGCACAACAAACCTGTTCCATATCCCACGATCACATCCATGACACCATCCCTATTGACATCATTTAGTCGCACAGCTGACTCCACTGTCAGTTTTGGTAAGCTTCTGGTCCATACATCTTCAACAACTAGCTCAGTGCAAGGAACTATTATACTGTCCAACTGAGACCCTTCACCGACTTTCCAGAACTTTATCACTTTGTCTAATGGAAATGGGAACCACATCACTAGAGATACTACCAACAGTATTAGACCTGAAAAGGAAAAGACACATAAATATCACACTACTGTATTAAACTGCAACTGTAGTCCCCCACTGACTATGGTACTTTTGTTTATAACTTAATGTATGGTAACCAACAGCTAGGGTCTACAAAAATCTGGGTTTACATGGAAGTGAGCTTTGTGAGACCTGCCTAAGCGCTAATGCATACTTCAAGATTACTACACTTACATTATATAAAAGTAGCTGTTTTCAAGCAAAAACTTCTCATGACTACATCTGAAAGTTAGAAACCTGCAGAAATAGTCATCAGATTTACAGATGATTTGAAGAAAATTCATCAAAGGACTGGGGAAAAAATCTTTTAAACTTATTTGCCATGAAAATAGCTAATCGAAGCACAAGAAACTACTGGTGGTCACAACTGAGAATGACTGTATAACAGTACATACTATCATATAGTAGTTAAGAAAATACAAGAAAAAATTTTCTCTAATTTATCACTTGAGAAAGTGGAACTGACTTATAATGGTAAACAAGTAAATATACTTTACTGCTGTGGGAACATCCCACATTATCACGTATTTCTGCAACGCTCGCTCTTCAAATCACTTTTCACCATCACGCACGCTAACCAATCAGATTGCCTCAAACGTTCGCATTTATACGGCGCCTCCTGCTAGCCAGCATCTATGTCATTACACGCGCTAGCCAATCAGTTCTTCCTCCTCAATTCCAAGTTTCGCTCCGCCCCACCGAGCAGTGTATAAAAAGGGGCAGCTCCAACTCCGAGTATTCAGTTCATCATCAGTCTATGAGCTAGCCAAATCAAGCAACATCAGCTGGCAGGCTTTGTCGCCAGCGCTCGGTCTACGGAGGCATCAGCGCTTCGCTGCACCAGGCATGACTGCCACAGCTGTCCGCCGGTCGCACCTGACTCACTGGGCAACTAGGCCGCATGGACTCGCCAGTAGTCATACCTGACACACTGGGCAACTGGCGTAGCTACCGCCTCTTCGCTCCAGCAACTGCGCTCAACGACTAGCCTTTCACCAGCCATTCACCGTAACTAGCCTTTCTCCTTACCGGCGCGCGCCGCGCTACCTCTCCGATCAAACATTTCAGCAACCACGGTCCTTTTCAGGACCAACAAACTGTTCCGAAGAAGTGGGTTGTCATCGGAGTAATGACAAGACTACATTAAGAACCCCACACTGGCATGAATGTTTATATCACCAGTAATTCTAAAAATTCAATGTATTATTTTCTTTTTGCATGAGCAGCATTGATATCCATTAAGAAAGCAGATGTAGATAGTTGAACTGTATATATTTCAACAATTATACAAACAATAAGAAGGGAAAAACACTTTACATAACATTAAGGCTTTAAGTGAATCATCATCTTGTGAATATAAGTTTTGAGAAATGGGATCATGGTATGTTCAGGTAAATGTGGAAACTAAAGTATGATGCATTAGTAGTAATATAATGACAGCTGAGTGTGATGATGGTCATGCTGCCATTAAACATAGTTCTGAACAAAACATATTGAGCACAACACAGTGTCCCTCAATGGTTTAAAAGCAGTAAGGGCAACAGAAGATCCATCATGCATATGTGAAATGTTCTATACCCAACGGTTTAGATAGCCAGTATGGAATTAAAATAAAGATATAGCCACAGATACAGATCACTGCATATTCTACTACAATCAGATAAAATCAGCTCTGCAACACGTAAAGAACTAGAGATACGTCTGCTAAAATCATGTTTGACAAAGGACTACTTTGCAACTAACCACTGGTGGAATTTGCTTAATTGCAAACTAAGGTCAGGCTTTAAATAAGGTTACTATTTTGGACTTTGTCTGTCATCTTGAGGTTATCTTTCTGTTATCAAGCCTGCGCACGCACGCACACACACACACACATGCGCGCGCGCGTGTGTGTGTGTGGGGTGGGGGTCCTACTCCATAAGGCCTAATAGAACGTTGGAACTTTTCTCCCCATTACACCTGATGACACAAATACAGAGCCAGTTTCCAAATGTTGTTTGGAGAAAACTCACAATGATGGACTAAGTCCAAAATAAGGCCGTGCCATAGCTCAAGCGGTTAGTCCCTGGCTTTCCACCGCGGTGGCCCAGGTTCGATCCCAGGTCTGGTCAAGTGGGATTTGTGGTGGATAGAGTGGCACTGGGGCAGGTTTTCTCCGAGTACTTCAGTTCCCCTGACAATCTTCATTCCACCAATTGCTCCACAATCACCCTCACCTATCATCTGGGGCTGGTACAATAGGCCAGAAGTTGCCGCAGTACAAGGGACTTAGTCCCACCCCACTAGCAATAAAAAAAAGTCCAAAATAATAAACCTTGTTCTGGTCACACACCACTGTCAGCAGTCTTTACTAGTAAACTGAGCTGAGTCAGACAACACAACTATACATATGATTCACAAATTTGTATATGAGAAAATCGTTTAGTTGAATTGAATTGATTTACATTCTAGTGATTCCAAGAAGTGAAGGCAAAGTTGCAATAAACATTTTAGAATGCAAACGAACTTCTGAAGTTTTCACTTTAGTCCATACATTTACTGCATCACCGATTTAAGTTATGAACACATGAAATAAAATTCTTGGTGTGTTGGAAGCTGATCTTGCAACAGTTTGTTGTGACTAAAGCTTTTGCAGCAACTGTACACAACGAAGCTTTCTAGTGTGACCAGCCATGTCAAGTGGAGTCAGTATCCAAAATATCAGACACTGTCTCGGTCTGCATATTAGAGGCTGATGAGGATGAAGTGAGTCTCTGTAGAGTTTGATACTAACTCCATATTGACATGGCTGAGCACCTTAGAAAACTTCAATTAATTTTGCATGTTTCTTGCTTTCATGCACACAAGTAGCCAGAAGTTCCCTCCACTCTTCCATTCAACTAATGTACACCAAACTAATTTCAGGATGTTTCAGGCTGTGGCCTTCTGGGTCATGGCAATTATCTACATGGAACACAGTCACCAGTATTTCCATCTACAGTCAGACATTCATTTTTATCATAGGAACGGAGATAGTAGTGTCCTCAAAAACGTAGGTAATCGACTTTCAGGCTGCAAAGTATCATAAATTGGAGGACCGCAATCTAAATTTTAACCGCCGCCACAAAAATATGTTTCCATATTTCAGCAATTCGGTACAATATGGATGGCAATTTTGCAATTCAAATTTTAACGCGGCTCCCATTCTGTGCTCGAAGTTTAGAAATCTGTGGTGTGTTTAACTAAATGAGTTAACTATAGGTTCACTTTAATTTAAACAAGATCGTCTCCTGAATTACAAACCTAAAAGAACAGCCAGTGCTATGAACCCGTAACAAAATGGTGCGCAAAGCGCTCTGCACGGAGGATTTCTACCAATTTCACTGTGGAACTGACTTGATTTCGACTTTCTTCTTGGAGCCATAAGTGGCCGTTTAACTCCTCTTTCTTCATCAACTTTAAAACCATTTCTTCCATCACGAATAAAAACTTCGTCTTCTACATCATCACTGACATCTTCATCGTCGAAACTGTCTCTGACAGCTAATTTGGAAGATGGATATGGCATTATTAAAGAAATTCACTTCTAATTTATCTGTAAGCAATCTATTTAACACAATCTTGCATATACACATGTACAATTAAACATCTTTTTACAAATCTGTTACTTCCTTACGGTAGAGCCAACCACCATCTTCAAGCGCCTCTGCACTTCGCAGGCGATGCAACTGCATAAAATATCATTACTCTCCGCCTATATTCCAATTTTTATCATCACCAAAAATTTCTTGAATATAATGGGAAACACTATTGCTCGGTAGTAAATTGTGTAGTTTATCGCTGATTTTTGTGCATTACATGTCGAGTCACCTACCAATTTTATGGCACACCCCAATGAGAAATTAAACGCCTTAAAGTTTGTGAGTTACAGCTCTGTTGGTCTTTCTTTACTATGCGCACAACCAATTCGCGCATGTACTTGTATGCTTGCAATTGTAAGCATACAGCATATTGGTTTTTGCAGTACTTAACATATTTCTATTTTACTCAAAAAACAGATGTATTTGAGCAAGAAATCGGTATGAACAATATTTGAGTGCTTTGAAAAAACATGATATCGAAAGTGTCACCAATACGCCGCTGGTATACCTACCTACTGAGGTTGGCCGAAAATGGTACTGCTGGAGTGCAGAATGAGTGCATTGGGTATGATTGGTGGGAGGAGAGAAACCCAAATTTTACCACAAAGGATTAATAAATTATCAACCTACTACTACACCTTTGTATCATAGGGCAGAATAGACCATGTACCTTGCTTTAACCAATGTACTTGTGACGTCTTTGAGGTTTTTCCTTCATTTTTCATATCAATGCTTTATGATAAGTAGGGGATTGCTCTCTACATGACATGATGCATCTGAAGAGAAGAAAGCAGACAGCCCAGAAATACTGCTGGGGACAGCTATGGTTGTACTGAACAAGCAATTTTGGCAAGCAGAAAAGTGTTATCCCAAACAATGGGGTTTGGTGATAGGCAAACAAACCATTGGAAAAAGTGAACAATATATTACAAAATGTATCGTAGAATCTCATGTTTTGACGGATTCATTAGCATTCTCCTAGCTCTGGATGAGGCTCAGTATGATTTTGATTCCTTACTGTCATTCCCAAATATCTGAACATTGCTAGATTCCTTAAGTATTTATTAAGTGTATATTACGACTGTCATTCTGGTGATGACATATAATATATTTCATTCCCTCTGCATTTTCATCTATGCCAACCTTCTTACTAGCATCTTTAATGAAGTTTCCGTATTTATGTTTTTGACAGTAAATTAATATAGGTATTTCAATTCAATTCAAAATGTTGAACTCCCACACACTGGCCACTGCTGCTTTATACTTAACACATTGCGGACCGGACGGTCCATATGGCCCTCTACATTTCCAAGCGTTGCGGACCGGGCGGGCCATATGGCCCTCTACGGTCACGTTATGTTGCAAAACACTATATATCGCTGTGTGGCTTCGTTGAATCGTAACTACTGCGTAGATGACCTTGGGAATGATTGCTGCCTTATCTAGTAACTCGACCAGAGTCATTTCCTGTCACAACCTAAACAAAATTGGCTTTGTTCTAATCCAAGCTTGCACGTATGAACCACGCAGCTACCAGTTCAACATGGCTCAGAGACGAAAGCAGTTGCGATCTCTCGGAGGACAGGAAATATTAG